TGTGGCGCCCAGCAAAAATGAAGTTGTTGTTTTTTTGTTCGAGAGGGGGGCCATTTATATGCATCTTCCGCACTGACTGTGGGATAAGAAGAGGTGGCGGGGAGAAGAGGGGGAAGCGGGTAGGACTCAGGGGCTCACATGTGAAACTCATTCAAAGTGGCCTTTTAGAGAGATCGCTAGCCAGGTTGTGATTTAGGAAATGCAAAGCAGTTCGTAGGCGCACGGAAGAGAAGGGTTGCAAAGACACCTACGACTGGTTCCCGGTGGCAGAAACTGGGAAGGGCTTTGAGACCTTGCGCTGCTGTTCGACTGGGATGCGGGAATCCTTGCGTGTATGCGGTGGATGGAAAGAAAGCAATAATATTTTTAAAAAAAAACAGCCACCGCTTCTGATTGGCTTGCTGAGGCATTTGGGAGATTCCCCGCCCCAACTGCCCGCCCCTGCCCAATGTAGTGGCAGGGGTCATAGTTTCTAGCCACGTGTGGTTTGTGCCCCGATGGGGGAGTCATTCACTTGTGGCGCAAGTTCTGAGCAAAGCGCAACGGCGCCAAGTTCTGCGGAAAGGAGCGCTCTCACTTAGGGGTGTATACTTAAGGAGGTTGAACTCAACAAAAGACTGGCCGAGGGGCCAGGAGAGCAAGGTGGCAAAGGAAGGAAGGAAAATCGGTCCAGGATTTCACTTTCCACAAAGGGAAACAAAATATCCAAATCTGTCAGATGCGGATATCAACTCTCCACCCGGTTTCCTCAGCTAGGCAGGCTTTTTTCCCCATCGTGTTGGAAATTATCTGTGTTTAAATAATAATAAAAAATCTCTTTAAAATAAAAATCGTAATGGCACAGGGCGAGAGCGCCCTTTTTGCTTACAGCATGAATAAAATACCTTTCCTCGCAGAAGGCCAGGTGGGTTGATTTCTCAAAGGTGGAGGAGGGAGGCCGTTTGGCCCGACCCCGCCCTGCGTGCTGTGGCCCATCCTTGCTCATTACGCACATCCCCTTTGGCTGTGAGAATGGAATGGTCCGCGGGGGTCGGGATAGGTGCGGGAGTCTCCGCCGTCCAGCGGCCAGAAAAGCTTGGGCAACGCGGAAGGGCGTCCGGCGCAACAGGTAGGGCAGCCTCAGCTGCGACCAGTTGCCCAACAGGGACTCCTATTCGGGGGGCGGGGGGAGGAAGATGGCTCCTCGAGCGCCCGCCTACTCACTCTCTGGCCCCTTTTTGCGCCGGGGAAGGAAGCTTCCCTGTGTTGTGATGAGGGCGGATGGTCACGTCTGCGGTCCCCAGGGACCGCCCGAGGGCCCCCGCTGTTATGACATGGGCCAAGGGACAGGTCTGCCCAGGAAGAAACAAAACAGCGGGACCACGAAGTCGGTTTCCCTTATCCAGAAATCAGCTAGGGGTCAGAGAAAGTAACTCACCGGTCATAACACTTCCCCAAACCCGTTTCCTTCCTTTCCGGGTTAAGTCCCATTCAAGCTCATGGTAGTCAGTTCGCACCCCTAAAAAACAAAACAAAAACAAAAACAAAAAACTTCTCTCGGGGTAAATCCCATTTAGGCTAATGGGAATCGGTTTCTCCGAGGCAAGCCCCCATTCAAGATAATGGGAACCAGTCGTGCCTCCCAATCGCTTCTTCCAAGGTAATCCCCATTCAAGATAATGGGAAGCAGTCCCCACACGCACACCCGCTGCTTCCCTCGGGGGTAATCCTATTCAGGCAAATAGGAGTCAATTACCCCGGGGTAACCCTACGTGACCAGGCTGGCAGCCTCTCGAGAGATCTGCGACTGGGAGAAGGGCCTATTTGTTTTCCGCCTTGAGAGCCACGCGCACAAGTGGATCCTTAAATCAGAAGCTCAGGCGAAGCCCCTCGCTGCGTCCCCAGCTTTCAGGCCGAGCCGAGACAGAAGCTCGCTCAAGTACAAAGGGAATTATTCCCTTTGCAGCAGCTTCCCCTCTAGCCCCGCCAGAGGTAAGGCTGCGAACTCCCCAAGGCACGGGAGAGTTCAGCCTCTGGCCTCCAGGAGGCCGTGGCGGTGGGGTGAAGCGCCCCATGGAAAGAGCCTCGGAGTCCCCTCCTAGCATTGCTAGGGCTGCCTCGTCCTGGAAATGGAACTTTCTTCTTACCTGTTCCATTGCATCCCTTGGGTTGGTTGGTTGGTTGGTTGGTTTTTACAGCAAAGGACCTCCGCGTGCAACGGAGCTCTCACATGCTTTGTACTCCGCATTAGTTAATCCGGAATACTTACTACCTGCTCGCCTTCCACGCCACGAATTGGGAAGGGTAGGCAATAGCCCCCTTAAACCTAAAAGCCCTGCATGCAAAGGAGAGGAGGGAATAATACCACGCTTTACCACACCATAATCTTCCTTCCTTGCTCATATTACTGCAGTATTTTCGGGGGGTGGGGGCAATGTGCTGTATCCACGCCGGCCAGGCATTTTCTGAATAGGAACCCCTGGTTTCGGTAGGGTGGGTGGCATGGGGGGGCGGAGATTTCATGGCGATAAGGACTCAACAAAATTCTCCCAGGTCTCTAACTTCCTGGACAATCCCCGGAGAGATTGAGGAACTCCGAGGGCTGCCCTCTCTTAAGATGTGTTGTGCGGTTAGATTGCCTTTTTCTTTTCTGGCGGCCAAGAGGGAGGGGGAGATTATTGGGGGAGGGGAACCCCTGGAAGTGAAAATGTAATCCGCAGTCCTTCACAGTTTCCCCTCTGCGCGCCCAGGGGATTGCGAGGGGGTGAGGGGAGAAGGGACTACCGGGAGCGCCTCCCCAGGGTTTTGGGGAACTGCGCGCTGTCTCCCCAAGGTATTGCACCTGGGAAAGATGCCTCTGTCTCTCCTTCGCTGCCCTCCCTTCCGCGCCGTGTAAGTAGATGGAGAAGTAAGTGATGGATCGGCCGCCCCAAAGAGAACCTGTGCGCTGGAATTGCTCCGGGGCACAGAGCGCCTCGACGACATTCCATCGGGGATGGAACGTCCCCATAGCCAATCGAGAGAGAGGACACTGCAGGAAAGCCTTGGCCAACAAGGAAAACAGCGCAATCCTATGCACCTCGTGGAGCTCACTCCCGGGTAAGTGAGTGGGTGCAATCCTATACCCACCTACCTGGGTGTAAGCCTCACTGAACTCAGTGGGACTTGGTTCCGAGTAGACGCGCCCAGGAGGTAAATTCCTCGCTCCTGCGCCCAGTTATCCCAAGACCAAGGATGGAGACAGGAAAAGAGGAATCTGAATTATACTGAGCCTGACCCTTCCTCTATACCTAGCTCAGTATTGTTCGCACTGGCAGGCAGCGGCTGTCCAGGGGGTCAGTCTGAGGCTCTTCCTAGTTTTACCTGGCTCTGCCTGGGATTGAATATGGGGCTCTTTCCATGTGGGGAGCAGGTTCTCTGCCACTGAACGACGTCCCTTCCCCCAGATTTCTCTCTCTTGGAATGGGATTTATTCCTGTTCCGCCCCTAGGTTTCCTCTCCAAAGTTCACATGCCACCTTCCACCTTTCTCCTCTGAAAGGAGAAGAATCCGCTTGCTGTCTGGCTGACATGCCCAGAAAGTGCGCGCGGGCGGAAGCAATGACCACTGCTCCTGTGATCCAAAACAGACGTGCCCATTGATGAAGGGTTGTGGGGCTTCTCTTCCTTAGAAGAGAGCAGGGAAGGGAGGGGGCGGGCTCTCTTTAACTTCCTCCTGAAATAACCCACATTCAGGTCGATAAAAGCTCTCCCCACAAAATTAGGCTAGATACATTTCCCCGGGTCAAGATCCTCTCCTAAAACCACTCTCTCTTTCCGCAATACTGCTTCCCCCGCCCAGAGACTTATTTAGGGTCTGGAGTAACTTGCCACCGCATCCCGGAACTCTGATTAATTGAGAAAGGGTTGGGGGGAGGGCGAAGAAAGGGCGCAAATAGTTTTCTTTTTAAATGCCCAAAGATGTCACTTATTTAAACCATTTCTTGCTTTCTTCGTAGCGCGCTCCCTTCAGAAGAATCTTTCACTACCACGTTAATAAGCTGCGTTAATTCTTTTAAAAATAATAGCAGCATTTTATTCAAGGAGGAATTGCAATGCACATCACAAGACTAATCTACAGAAGCTAAAACTAAGAGCATCTAGAGGCTTAGCAGATCAGATTACTGAAAACCCGGATCCTAAAGACTTCGACAACCCGATCCTAAGCTTATTATGGACTCGGCCGTAAATCCTGCTGAATGCAATGGGGTTTTATTCCAGAGAAAGAAATTGGAGCATTCATTTCCTATTCTCTTTATAGTTAATTGTTTCACAGTTACTTGAGACCCAGCCCCTTCGAACTCTGTGGGACTTACTTCCGAGTAAAACACGCTAAACATTTCGTTGGGCCCGGGCACACATGCACACGCCGTTTCCAAGATCCATCTCTCCAAATTTAACCCCTAGAGAAAAGGAAATAACTACTCCAGTTCTAAATAAGTTCTCAGAAGAAAGATACAAGCCGATCCTAAGGACGTTTATTTTTGCAGCACAACCTCCTTGAACTCAGCTGCCTGGTGGACCTGCTTAGGATCGGGCTGCAAATCTGACTATGACGAGGCGCGCGCGCAAGAGAGAGAGAGAGGCATACAAGCTCCGTTGCAGAAGCCATTTAACCAAGCGCAATCTATTTCCCTTTATCAACGGGCCATTTAAATAGCAGCGCATGTGACCCTAGACTTCTAGTGGCAGGGTTGAAATAAGGTGGCAAGAAATCTGCAGAGGAATCAAGCAGAGGAAGAAGAAGGCAGCTCGCGAGGTCTTCGCCTCGCCTCGTCAGTCTCCGCTTGAGACTGCGTTCCGTCTCCGAAATCACAGCACCGCTTTTTAACATTCAAAAATATAACCATCACAAGAGCAACAATCCCAGCAGCAGCAAAATAAAAAAAAATAGGTGCTGTTTATTATTAATGTCACTGCCAGCTCCCTATATAGGCGTGGAGGCTGCCCTTTGATTAGACAGAAAAAAGACTGGATTCTGTTCGTTTACATGGATTTATTTGCTGTAAACATTAAAATTGTCTTTCTCAAAGAAAGAGTTTTTAGGGATAAAATGTCCAAGGCTAACTGTCATACACCATAACGGAGAGGGGCGGGGGTGGGGTTGTGGGGTGGAGAGGAGGCAGAAACTTAAGGAAGTGCCCTCCTGGAAATATACAAAGAAAAGAAAAAGAAAACTACAGAATATGGCATTATATATATAGATATATATTAAAAAACTTCCTTACTGAAATGTAAAATAATATATTAACCGACAATTTTAGACATTTGTTTTTCAAAAAGAAAAATATACACCTTTTCCCAACCCCTCACACCCCCTCCAAAAAAAACAAAAAAACAAAACAAAACCCGAACACTCCCGAAATAAAAATTCAAAGTGCTCAGTTAATTTCCAGGGAGTTCTGTATATGAGATATAAGCACTCTGGAAACGGTGAAAACGCTTGTGGCATGCAAGACTTGGCTCCGCTTCAGACAACAAAATAATCAAGATATAAACTGTTTTCTTTTAATCAGCATCAACAATACATACGACACTTACAAACAAGGAATGCCGGACGGTGTTTACAAAGACGGGAAATAGGGGTCCCTGGCGAAAGGTGTTTGCTTTTTTCCGGGAAGTGGGGCAGGTTGGGGTTTTAGGAAGGAAGAATCTGTTTGGATCTGTGTAACACGTGTGCCCACTTATTTTACAATTGAGAAAAACGTTCGAGGCTTCTTAGAGAACTACCAATCTTTATAAAATCTAGCAGACTACATAGTGTCTGAAATTACTATTTATAGAATATAGACATTACTGAAATAGCAAGTGCCTATAATAAACGTGGTCCTCCTAGAATGGCCCTGCTTTCTCTCGATTAGGTCTTGAATCGTCAACTTCTATCTATTTCTTCAAGCTCCTTTGATTGATTCTCGTTATTCTTTACTTTCTCCTCCCCCCAACCCAACTCTCTTTTTTAAAAAATTTATTATTATTATCATTATTATTATCAGAATCGGTTTGAATAGCTTATTCATAAATAGGCACAGAATAGTTTTTTGTTTTCCTTTTAAAAAGAAAGAAAGAAAGAAAAAGCCAAACCGCATCTGGTGAAATGTACAATCCTTCGCCTTCTGTCGATTCATGCCGCCCCCGTCTCCCTCCCCACACCTTAACTGGTCGTCTATATATATATTACAGCTTTCCTTTACAGCAGAAAATGATTTTTTTATATATAAAAAAAGTCTTAGGTGGGTTCCCTTAGTACACTCGCCTTCGGCAGCAGCTAAGGCTCAGCTTCCTTATCTCAAAAAGTCCTTCATCATAACCATCATCATCATCATCATCACCATAATAGCAGTAGGAAATTCTGTTTTCCCCCCTCCCCCCTTTTTTTTGTTTTGTTTCGGGGAGACCGGGGTGTATGAAGGATACTGTTTGTCTGTTTTAGGCGATAATAAAAAGCTTGTACCATGGGATTTGTGTGCAGTCCAAGGAACGGGATCCAGGGTGCCTATAGAGAGAGACCCCCACCCCAATGTCCAGTCTCTGTCTTTCAGGAGAGGCCAACCACAGTCTGAAGGGATGGGAGCCCAGCAGCACCCATGGGTGCTCCTCACGGACCAGGTGTCTTAGTCAGGCCCCTTCATCTGCTTCCTTCTTTCCTTCCTTCCTTCCTTCCTTCCTTCCTTCCTTCCTTCCTTCCCCCTCTCTTCCAGGCTTTGAAAGTTCTTCACTTGGAAAGCTCAGCGGCAAAGAAGAGTCCTTCCCTCTCTTTCTCTCTCTGTCTCTTTCTTTCTTTCGTTTTTTTTTTCTCTCTCTCCCTCTCTCTCCCTCTCTCTTTTATTTTAAAAAGGTAGCGTGTCCAGGAAAAGTTTGTCGATTATTGCCGGCGGTGGCACCAAGTCTTCGAGTTTCAAGTAGAAGATGCGCTGCAGGCCTTGCGTGCAAAGCGTGCGCAGTTCCGGGAGCTTGCCCAGCAGTTTGGACAAGTAATTGGGCCGGTTCAAGCCGCCGTTGTTGAAAGTCACGTGGTCCTTGAGACAATTGACAATCTTGTTCTGCAGTTCCTCCACCCTCTTGGGTTCCTTCAGGCCGTGCCTCTCTGCAAGAGACAAGGGGCTTATTAGACCGGACGCAGTGTGTGTGTGTGTGTGTGTGTGTGTGTGTGTGTGTGTGGCCATCAGGCCTTGCCTAGAAGACGCAAACTTGCAGCTCCTTAATACCAGTAAGAAGCAACTCTCCACTTTAGCTGTGCCCTAGATTGCAAAGGCTAGGCACTTCACCTGGGTGTAAATCTCGGAGAATCTCTTTGGAGAAGGCACGTGTAAAAATGGCACCGTCCAACTTCTTGGGCACACCGTAATCGGTGTCAACAGACCAGATTGGCACTTTTGAGTGTGCAAGAGGGTCAAACTGTGTAGCAATAGCTCAACACGAACACGCACTGTCTGAGGATGGTTTTGTGCCTTGCATTTTCTATATTTGCAATCGTGAGAGCAGAGTTGTTATTCCGGATTCATTCAAGCCAGATCTGCAAGGGGCTAGGGATAAGAAGTCCATAAATATCCTCGCTCAATCCAGCATAAAATGCAGGAGTTTATTGGCGAAGGAGGAATTCTAATGACGAATGCATGGTAATACTGTAGTATCCTAGTAATCAGGTGGAAAGTGTGGGGGTGAGTATTGTGGACTTTAAAAGGCTGAATTAAAGGTTTCTGGTTTATATGGCAGTTCTAACTCTGCCTTAGCAAATTGTACAAATACGAGACAGACCGTCTTGGGTTGTAAGATTGCAAGCGAAGTGGGAATTCTGATCTGCATGGCTCACTTATAATGATGGGAGGGATGACGCAGTACTTCTTCCAAATTAATTAATCTGGAGCAAAAAAACCCGATGGGGGGTAGGAGCCCAAAGCTCACCTGTCACCATGGCCAGCGCAGCGATGCAGGAGAAGGCGGAGATGTCGATGTTCATGTTCTGCAGGTTGGACGAGAACTCCACGATCGAGTCGATCCATTCGCCGAAGCCGCGGACGCACTGCAGCCGGTGCAGGACCACGCCGTTGCAAAAGATCAGCTTGCCTTCCACCGGGTTGGATCTGCCGGGGGAGTTCACCCAGGGGCGGAGAGACAGAGAGAAAGAGGCAAACAACTAATTACTCGCGGAGCAATAAACGGAGGGCTTAAGAGGCACCTAATTACCGAGGAGTTAATAAAACGCAGCTCAGCGGACCTTGAACGGCTCAGGATTTTCTCATCAGACTGGCTGGCAGGCATCCATCCACACATCCATAGGCGCGTGCAAACACCCAGGACTGCGCCGCCTCCGATTCCTGCCTAATTGTCCCGGCTCTGCCTCCTTTTGCCTACCTGTAGGCTAACCGCAGGACGAAGAGCTCCAAGAAAGCGGATTCAAAGAGCAGGTCCTGGTCCTGTTTGGGGAGATCGGTGAAGCCGGGGATCTTTTCCGCCCAGCCCCGGATGATTTCCATGGAGCCAGTCAAGAGATCGTAGAACTGCTGGATGTGCTGCGTGTCGTCGCCGCTCATCTGATAGTCCGGGTTAGCCTGGAACTGGAGTCGCCATTCCGGAGAAGAAGGAGAAACGGATGGGGAAAGATGGGAAGGGAAGGCAAGTGGGGGAGGAAGGAGAGAGAGAGAGGAAGAGACCCCAGCAATTTAATGAGGTTCTCTAAAATATATCGCCCGTGAAATTGCTAACCCCATTCCGAGGAGGGGAGCCTGGTTTTTATAACAATTAAACCTCGCTCTGACCAGTAAGGAAATTAAGATGTTCCAGGGCAATTAATTCAATTAGGGGTGGTGCTAGGAAGGTGGAAATTGCCGTGGCCAAGAAGGGTCGGCTTAGCAAAGGCGCCCTGGGAAAGCGCCCCGAAGGACCCGCCAGGAGGGGAAATCCAAGCAGCCCCTGATTTTATTTTTTTGCCTCTGGAAAGGCGAGTGTCGTAGGATGGGTGCGATGGTGACACTAGGAATGAATCCTCTTGTACACACAGGCCCGTATGTGTCGTGAAACGCACACACACACTTGTGTGAAACACACACACACACACATATGTCTAAGAAGATAAAACACATCCACGCAAGTGTCTGTCCCCATCATTTTATTTAATTTTCATTATTCAGACATATACACGTGTGTCGTGTCCCTGTTGGTGTGCAGAAGCACAGAAGGACCGGGTAATAATAATAATAATAAAAATAAAGCTAGCGTTATGCGGTATGGACAGGGAAAGAGGGAGATCCCAATCGGCAAACCCTCCTCTCTCTTCCCCCACAAACCAGAATGAGCCAAAATATATACCCTGAATGAGCTCCCCAAAGCATTTCGGATAAGGAACTCCACTAAGGCCAGTGTATGTGCTGTCTCCAATAATGACTTTGAGGATCAGGCCTAACAGGTCGGTCCTACTCGCCGTTACTTCGAGAGTAGATCTTTCCTGATTCACTTCCCTAAGCATCCTAAGCAAATCCTACGGGAATCAAAGGCCTCTCTTAGAAGCAGATGTGGGCAAGGCGTGGCTTCTAAGGCGTAAACCTCCCCCTCACATCCACCCCTGCCCCCGACCCACACCACAATCCTCGGCCCCTCGGCCCTGATGTATCTTAAGAGCAGTCCTCCAATATCCCCGCGGTTTCTTGGCAACAGCTTTAGGGCAAAGGGTCTCTCTCCTCCCAAACAGAGAAATGGCCTCGCTACGGACTAGCCGCGTGCTCAGCGCGTCCCCCCCGCGAGGCGGACCCTTCGGCGAATGTTGTCTCCAGCTTACCCTGGAATAGTCCAGGCTGGTCATAGCCGGGTTGGAGTCGACATGGGCTCTCACCAGGGCACTGATCAGACTCACCGGGGGCGACGGGGGAGAGGGCTCCTGGGGGCTCTTCGGTTTCGACGGCAAGCGACCCCGCCGGCCTTTTAAACTGTCTGTGCGAACCACTGCAAAAGAGAGAGCTGGTCAACTCGCCCGGCCAGAGAGGGAGCAGCTTTTGAACAGGAAAGCGAAGAAGCCCTGACATCCCTTACGCGACCGCCACCTCCGCCCCCCGGGGATGCAGTGCCCATAATCTCTTCGACGGCACCAGGAAGCCTCCAACACAAAGGTGTCCAGAGTTCCCACTGAATGAATATTCCTTTATTTGCTTTTCCTCTCGTGCGTATGTGCGCGCGGGAGCAAAAGTTGCTTGTTAAAAGGAACCACCAGTGTATAGTATACACCCTTGTGGATGGAAATCTCGACTCTGAAATTGGGATGGAGCGGTGTAGCTTCTGTGAGCCAGGAATGGGCCTCAGCATTTGTTCGGTCTTAGCCAGTGCTATTTTTCTAGAAAAACAGGTGCCGGAACTCACTCTAAACACTTCCCAATTGAGAGGTGCCGGTACTCACCCGAGAGTTCGGGTGACTTACCCCTGGGAGGAAAAAGCCCTGGCCTTAGCCATGATACGAATGGCATTCTTGTTTAGGAAAGAGTGCATCTGAGCCTTGGCAAAATCCCAACCCCGCCTCGACTCTCTTTGCCCTGGGATGCCTCATCCTTCACATCTTAGACGTAAGGAACCTATGCCTGGGTCCCTTCACGTCTAGGATGAGGGCCATCCGGTTCCAGAGAGGGGCCAGTAACTGCCTCTGCTTCTTCGATGTCATCCTAAGCTCCCTGGGCAGTTAAGGCCTCTGCTTGCCTGTTTATTTACTTCTCTGGGAGATTCCCCTGCGAGTCAGTGTGTGTAGGCGCTCGACTGTGGCCGTCTAAGGACCATGGTCCCAGAGCTCTCCGCTATCTCTGCAGGTTTACTGAAAATCCTCCCCAGGCTTGCACTCGTTTGCATAGGACTGAATAAGGCCCGAACGCTGCTGGGACGCGGACGTTCTCCGACGTGGCGAACGGGAAAGGAAGTGTGCGTGTCCGCGCTTCCTTCTCGCAGCTGTGGCTGCTGGTTCCTCCGAGGACCAGCCCGCCCCCCTCCCGCTCCCAGTCATCCCGGCAGCCCCTCCCCCCCGGCAAGCGGTACCTTCTTTGACCATGCCGACTGCCAGGCACTTCTGAAAGCGACAGTACTGGCACCGATTCCGGCGGCGTTTGTCCACGGGGCAGTTTTTATTCGCTAGGCAAACATACTTGGCGTTTTTCTGGACGGTGCGCTGCGGAAAAGAGGGGAGGAGATTGGGGTGGGGGAGTCCAAAGGAGGCGCCCTCGGTTAAATTCCCTGCACAGCGCCTCGCCATTTCCCCCTCCCACCCCCTCTCGCTCGCCTTCCCCTTCCCCTCCAGCCCTTCTTCTTTTCCAAGGCATTTATCTCGAAACAAATGGGAAGCGAGCGCGCCGGCCCCGCAGCTCCTTGCCGATGCTTGATATGCCAAGCGGAGGAGAGAGGAGACGTTCGGTAAATACAAATCCGTGGGCATTCATATTATTTACATTCCTCCGAGACCTTCTCTCTTTCAAATGATAAGATTATTCAATCAGAATGGGGGAAATAAAGAGATCACTTAATTTGACCATAGGGAATTCCGTTCCACTTGGTTAGCTTAGACACGGTTCTCTGTCCTAACCAATTTCAATCCGAAGGCAAAAGGCGAGCGCATGCAAATAGCTCCCTTCGCCCGCCTGCCCGGCCTCTGTTCGCCTCTCCTTTAGGGAGAGGAAGGAGGGAAATGGTGGTGTTGTTGTTGTTTTAAAGAGAGTGGGTTGGGCGACGAAAGCTGCCTGGGGAGGACAGCGACTTTGTGACACATGGACCACAGTTTTTCCTTCCTCTTTTCCCCAGGTGATGGGCTGCCTGTAGAGATTCTGAGCAGGCCTCAGGATGCAGCGTCGAGCGCATTAAAATATTAAAAACCCACCCTCATCCAACAGCGCCGGAGTGCGCTCCTAAATTCCTGGTTTGGCTTGATCCCCCTGGTACGCTTTGAGTCGGGTTGGGGCAGAGAAAGAGGTCTGGGGCTTGGCGGTGCTTTCTCTCCCCTGATTCCAAAAGCACGTCTCCGAAATCCTGATTTTTCCTGACTCCCTTGGGCAAGCAACCGGGCATCTTTTGGCCCTTGTGGTCTCCGCAGTGCCCAGGAGCAGTGCCAACAATAAACCCTGGCGACAGAGGAGCTGGGTGGGGTTTCTTCCCCACTTCTCCCACTTTCATAAAGATTATCCGCCGTAACGGATTGTCCGTCCTTAACATATTCAGCAACAGAGTAGGACAAAAGCGTGGTCAACAAGAAAATAAATAAATAAAGTTGCGCTTGGCCAACTCTTCCGACGGCTGGGAAACGCGGGGTGGGGGAGGGGAACCCCAAATCTCTACTTTTGGCAGAGAGTTTAGACTAAAAGGGGCGATTGTAAATATCTGAGCTAGGAATATGCGTCTGGCGTTTCTGAAGCGCGTGTCAATATTCCCACGTAGGGAGACCAAAAAGGTGATTTAAACTGTGACTTTCTCAAGTCAAGGATTCGAAGGAGATTTGGGGACAGGTGAGTCGCGAGCTGGTGGGAGAGTTTATGCCGCTTGAATAGGGCCCGATCCTATCTATGCGCGCTGGGACGCCTGGAGCGATTACCAGCTTGTCTCTCTTTAGGATGCAAAGGGAAGAGAACCAGGACTGAAGTTTATTCTGGGTTCATGAACCCTGAGCGCAAGTGTGAGGCTGCCCGCCATAGGGCTTCCTTCCTTTCAGGGCTGTCCAAGGCCGGGCGTCTAATGCGGAGTGGCAATTATCATACCAGGCTAAAACAGCCAGGTGTGGATTCCAATTTGCGGGGGCGGGGCCTCGGCCTAGATTGGGAGAGCGAAGAAGGGATCTATCCATCAGTGCCTTGGAGGAATGGATGGGCACAGAGGACAGGATAGATACAGGGGAGGGAGGGATGCGGGGATGGAGAGCTGCGCTAGCGGCTCGGCAGCTGGAGAGACGGCCGGCGCAAAATCTGGTCCTCCTCCTCCATCACCACTGACACAGAAGCCCTCCCCCCGCCCCCTGTCGCGGCTCCTTAGCAGCAGCATCTCACCTTGAAGAAGCCTTTGCAGCCCTCGCAGGTGCGCACGCCGTAGTGCTGGCAGGCAGCGTTGTCCCCGCAGACGGCGCAGAGCCCCTCGTTGGAGGGTGAGCCCCGCGAGGGCGGCGACGGCACCTGGGCGTCCAGGAGCTGCGAAGCGTGCCCGATCTGCAGCCCGGGGAAGCCGACAGCGGCGGCCTGCTTGCGGATGGGGTTGGGCAGGGCGAAGGGCTGCCCGTCGTGGTGGTGGTGATGGTGGTGAGGCCCGCCGGGCTCGCCGTTGAGCGGCAGGGTGTGCAGGGGCCCGTCGAAGCGCATCTGGCAGCTGCCCACTGGCGTGCCTGGCGGAGACTGCTTGAAGGAGAAGAGCGAGAGGCGCGGCACGGCCGTCGGGGCCACCGCTTTGTGCATCCCGCCGCCGCCGCCGCCCCCGACGGCCGCCGCTCCGCCGTAGGCCTGCGCGTGGTGGTGATGGTGGTGGTGATGGTGGTGGTGGTGGAAGCCGTGCAGGGGCCCCGCCTCGTCCCACACGCTCTGCCCGGGGGCGAAGCCCGCGGTCGGGGCTGGCGGCGACGAGCACGGCTTGTAGTAGACGGCCAGCTCGTCGGGCTGCTGCGGCCCGGCGGCCGGCGGCGGCTGCTGGGGCGGCGGAGGGGGGTAGCCGTGCGCGTGGCCGTGCAGGGGCAGCTCCTCGACCTTGATGGAGGGCGGCGGGGGCGGCGGCGGGGGTGGCGGAGGCGGCGGCGGCGGCTGCGAGGGCATTTGGTACAGGCAAGGCGGCTTGACGTCGTAGCCCGCGGCGGCTGCGGCGGCGGCGGCGCCGTAGTTGTCCATGAACGTACTGAAGCTGGGGAGAGAAGTGGTGGCAGTGATTTCAGTGTTGGTCAGGTCCATGCTAAACTTGACAAACTCGGGCGTTAAGAAGTCCGAGCTGTACTCCCCGGCAGCCGCCGAGTGGTGGTAAGCGTAGCTCTGCGTGGCCGGGCTGGCTCCTTGCGGCGAGGACCCGAACTGAGCCTGGACGCAGGGCATGGCTGCAAACGAGACACGGCACAACAACAACAACATGGCTCAGCTGGGGGGTCAGGGTGGTTAGCTGCTGCGCAGCAACAAGCCCCCGAAGGGGAAAACCCAACCGCCCACACCGCCCGCCCACACCGCCAAGCTCCCTCCTTGCACCTCCCCCTCCCCACCAACCACCGCCCTCACGTCGGGGAATGGGGTTCGGGTGGAAGAAGATGAAGGGCGCTGGAGGAGGAGGAGGGGAAGTGGGAAGTGGGGCAGCAAGGGGAGAAAGCCGGGCTGAGATGGCAGGACAGAAGAGCGGAGGAAGGAGGAAGTTCGACGTGGCCCACCGGCAGGGCGAAAAAAGCTGGCAGCAAAAGGGAGGCTGCAGTGGGGAAGATGGACAGAGAGAGTAGGAGTAGGAGTAGGAGTAGGAGAAGAAGAAGAAGAAGAAGAAGAAGAAGAAGAAGAAGAAGAAGAAGAAGGAGAGACAGGGAGCTGGGCGATGGGGAGGTGGGTCAGGCAGAGAAAGAGGTAGGGAAGAGGTCGTGGCGTGTAGAGGTGGGGATGGGGGAGAGAAGAGGGGCAGAGAGGGGGAAGGAAGGACTGATCGTGGGGAAGAGGGATGGGAACGATCCCCTCTAAGCAGAGAAAAGCCCCGCAGGCAAGCCCAACAAGGGCCGTCTGATAGCTGTCAGTGCTTGGGCTGCGGAGGGTGTAGCCCGCATATCCCTCCCCCCCCACATCGCCCCAATATATTTCCCCCTCCCTCTCTCCCTGCACATCAGATCTCTCCTTCCCATTCCCCTTCCCCTCCCCCTCCCCAAATTGTGCCTAAGCCCATCTCTCCGGACTTGCCCCATGTCTCAGTTTTCAGGTCCCCAGGAAAGGAGCGTTTGGGGATCTGGAGGAGGACGATGGATGGGTGCAAATAGCCAGGGACTCACCCACCTTCAGCCGAGTGAGAGGCGTTTTCGGGGGGGCTAAAGGCGGACAGCGTCGGAATTCAATGGAGGGACAGGTTGCCAAGACGGGAGGGAAGCGCTGCGGACTCCAGAGTGACCCGGGTGCTCCCTGGAAAGCACAAGAAGAGCGGGAGGGAAACAAACACAGAGAGGAGAGGAGGGGAGGGGGAAAAAAAACTTGTTACTCTTTCAGCCTCACTTGGAAAGGACTAGGAGGGGAAGATGCGGCTGCCAAGGGACTCGATCCCCAACCCCTGGGAAGAGAGCAGGACTTCCTCGAAAGCCCAAGGCAGGGCAGGGGGCACCGAAAGTTTAGGGGCATTAGAACCTTAATATGTGTGGGCAGATGAGGGTGGAGATGTAAGGAGAAAACTTGCTTTGTGTTAGAAAATCTAAAGTAGCTGTCATGCGTGTCATTTTTTCCTCACTGTATATAACAAAAGTGCAATGAAATTTGCTTTGATTCCTCCTCTTACTTCTTAGTAGTGTATGTCTAAGTCTATCCATATATACACGCAGACAGATTATCAAATGCCCCAAGATTGACACAGCTTACTCGGAAGTACTTCAGTCATTAGGAAATTAGACACTTAAGAAAATGTCCTTAGGGTGTGTGTGTGTGTGTGTGTGTGTGTATACTATAGATAGATAGATAGATAGATAGATAGATACACACACACACACACTAATTAAATGGCGACACCCACATCTCCCCCTCCTTCCCTTTCCTCTAGAAATTCCGCTGGACTGTAGGAAAAGGAGAAAAACAGCCATAAAGCGAATTAATTAAAAGGCACGCGCGCGCACAATGAGGAAGGCAATTAAAGAGCAAAGCAGCTCCGTCCATGACAGTCCCCGAAGCTGCAGGCGGAACAGGGCGAAAGGGCGCCCAAGGGACGCGCGCGCGCCGACAAAGTAGCAAATCTGAAGAGAAAGGGATCCCTCTCTCAACTCTTCCGGACGGCTTTCGGAACTGACCCACGTCTAAGGGGCGGGAGGGTGGCTGGCTTTTCCCGACCACTACATCCCCAAACACAGTTTCTCTAGATCTACAATGAAAACAGCGCCGGAAAGTTCGACAACTGAAGCCAGGCAGCCGGCCCGCCAAAGGGACTCTCCTCTTTGCGCCCACTCCAGATCCGTGTCCCCGGCATGCCCTAATTCGAATTCCATCCGAAGCAAAGGGTCTCTTCATCTGTCAGCTAGTTTAACCCCTGGAACCCTCTTCCTCTTCTTCCCCTTCCTCCTGCTCTCCTCCGAATTTGGAAGGGATTTCCCTCTCCGGATCGACTCCTGCGCCGTCCCTGCTAGGTCAGGGGGCCGGCATCCCCCCCTCCCGGTGTTACAAAGCCGCGTGCGTTACACTAATTTAAACCCCCCACCAACCTCCGGCAGTAATAAAACCTTGAAAGGCGACGACGCGCTGGCTAAGCTTCTCAACTGGCGGAGATCAAAGTCGTTCCCAAGCAACACACATCCGCCCAGCAACTTTTCTCCCTCTACCAATTGAACCCTGGACCAAAATCATAAGAAAATAATAATATAAAACCCCACACACCGAGGATCTTAACCCGCAAGGTTGCGGCACCAAGTCCAGAAGAGGCGAGCAGACTAAACCCAAAGTTGACTTTCCCCACCTTATAATAACTGGAAACAGCCGGTTAGGAATATAGGGGGGAGGGCACTGGTTGGAAGAACCCCCGACCTGAAGGCCGAACAGCGAGGTCTTTCTTTCTAGGAAGAACATTTGGAAGAAAACCTCCTGCACAACGTGTTACTATTTCCTTCCTTGCCCCCCCTCCCCACGTCTCCAGTCTCTCCCCCCACCCCGCTACTTTCCCTCGCCTTTGAGAAACCCGGGCAGCGCATCCAGATGGCAGTTAAGCCGAGAGTGCCCCCCCACCCCCAGACCCGGCGCGATCCACTTACTTGTTGGGCTGTGGCTGTTTCATTCATTCACCGGTGGGGAGTAGTAGCTCCGATTCCCAGGGGCGGATGGGCGAGGTAAAGCGAGCGAGCGAGCGGAGAGCAAGCGAGAGCGCGCGATCCCCGGCTGCTGCTGCTGCTGCGGCGTCTTCTCGGTCGCTCTCTCCGCCTGCCTGCCTGGCTGGCTGGCTGCTTGGCTGCCGGGCTGCCTGTCTCCCGCACGCGCGCCCCCTCCGCGCCCGCCTCTCCTCTCCTCTCGGCGCCGGGCGCCACGCACTCCTTCTCTCTCCAGGAAGTGCGGCGCGAGAGCGCAGCGCGGGGCGAGCAAGCCGGACGGACTGGCCCTTGCCTGCAATGTGCCTTTGTTTATGTGGGCTCCCTTTTGCCCAGCCAACATGCACCTCGAGTCTCCAAGCGTCAGTGCACGTCAGTGCCGCCCGCCCAATCAGCCGGGCCAGGGGCTGGATCGCTCCGTACCGTTGGCTAGCGCTCGCTTTGGTAAATTTCCGACGTGACATCACCAAGAGTGGCGCTTTTAAGGTGGGAAGCAACTCGCCGCCTCGCTCGCCTGCCTGCTTTCCCTCCTGCCAAGCTGGGAGCTGCTTTGGGCCAAAAGAGGGGCAGGGCTCGCCACTTTCCCCTCTCTTTCTGCCCCCCACCCCACCTCTTCTGGTACACCCCGATGTCCGAGATTGTAAACAAAGAGAGAAGCCTACTTCCCTCTCCCCGCCCCCTGTTGTCACCGACCGAGCCCAGACAGCTGTCAATCGAGATCTCCCCCACTCCCGCCCCTTCGCTGCAACGCGTGCTCATTTTATCTCACAGGAAATCCTAGGATGGTAGAGTTGGAAGGGACCACGAAGGGCATCTAGTCCGACCCGCTGCAAGGCAGGGGTCTTTTGCTCAACGTGGGGCCCCCAACCCACGTCCCCGAGATTTAAGAGTATCTACTATGCCCACTTCCAGATCTGAGGTGGAAATCCACTTTCCTCGGAGGGAGTCCCACTGAATTGGGGGGGGGGTTAGGGGTGCCAACTTGGATGAAATATTCATAATCAGTCACATGATGTGGTGCACACACTGTTTGAATGGCAATGCCTATCAACTTTGGGGGGGGTTCAAATATTTTATGGTGGGGGGCGAAGGGACCTCAGCCCCTAGGAGCTGGCTCCTAAGGCGGGGTTTAGCACACACAAGGCTGCTCTGCATATCTGTCTGTCTATCTATCTATCTACAGTATCTAGCTATCATCTATCTATCTATCTATCTATCTATCTATCTATCTATATCTATCATCTATCTATCTCTATCATCTCTGTCCATCCATCTTTAACTGACCCATCTTTCTATCAGAGATTCTGTAGCTTCTCTTATCCCGGATGCGCCCTCCCCTCCCCCTCCCCGTGCCGCTTCTGCGAGCGGGGCATTTGACAGGTAAAGAACCAGGAATGCATTGACGCAGCCAGTCCATCCCTTTTTAAAAGCTGAGACAACGCATGCAACAAGTTGCACAATCAGTCCCTAGTCCGATTTACGTCCCGAAGCATCACTCCTTCCAGCTGCTCTTCTTTCTTTTCTTAACTTTGCAAAATGTATCATTTCTGAAGAAGCGCGCGCGCGCGCAAGGGGGCGGAGGAGAGGAGTGAGATGTGGAGAGGAGGAATCCATCGGTCTTTTGGGAAAGTTCATGCTTGAAGAACATGCGGCGTCTTTTCCTCCTTACTATATAGATGGGGAACGACAAACACATGACACAATATTATGCAGAAGAATTTGCTCCAGTCCTGCGGGGGAGGGGGAGAGACCCGTTTGCAACTATTGCACGCACAGCGGTTGAGTTCAGAGGCAGGGCAAGGATTCACAGGAAGGAGCGTGCGTGCGTGTGTGTTTGGTGAAGGAAAAGTGGGACGATGCTCAGGATCCGGACATGCTTCCTCGGGATCGAGGCTGCAGCCCTAACTAAGCACACTCCAGCTTCGCTGAAGGGAGCGCGAGCGAGCCTTACTTCCGAGGAAACACGTCTAAAGTTGCACTGGACGTGCCCCAGCGAGGCTTGCTTGTGAGTAAGGGCTTCTCCAATTAGGGACTTGCTGCCTTGAAGGGTGGGGTGGGGTGGGGTGGGAAATATAGGGCTTGCCTGCTCCTCAGCACTTTTTCTTCGGTCTTGCTTGCCACAGTGAGCCACCGGGACGGATGCTCTCCGAGTGGGCAGTGCCAATGCCCAGGGAGTAAGTATTAGTAGGGGCAGGCGGGGCTGGGGCTGAAGGAGAGGGCACAAGCCATCATTTCCTGAGCTGGAAAAGTTGCTCGTCGAGGGAGCCCCGTGCCCACTCCACCCCCTGCTTTCCCAGAGCCCTAAGCAGCCAAAAAAAGGGGGGGCGATTCACAGGCGTCTCCTCTTTCCTTTCCCCTGCGCCCACGGGCCCACCCCCCTCCTCAATATTCCAGGCGGAGAAAAATGGCCAAAAAGTGTCAACCCCCCACCCAAAACACCCACCCACACGCACCCACCCACCCACCTACACCCCTGAGAGATAACTCAGTTGGTCATGGGTTCGAGCCCCAAAATATTCCTGCACTGCAACTGTACAATTCTATTATTCTACCCTCATGGGCGTAGCCAGGATTTTTGTTAGGGTGGGGGTAGGCTTTTGCTAGGGGGGCAGTACCTGAAATTCGTATTGGTTTGTATTTATTGGGGGGGCAGCTGCCCTCCCTGCCGCCCCTTGGCCACGCCCATGTCTACCCTGCCAATGGCGTGACACGAAGCACTTGCTCCTAAACTGCCAAGGTTTGACCTGATCTTGCACGTGGGAAGGGTGACGATGGGGGCTTAGCAGCGCTGTGTGTGAAAACCTGAGACAAACTAAAGAGGAGAGAGAGAGTTGTGGGAATCGGCTACTTAATGGCCATGTCTCCGGAAAGATCCTGCGCAGGGTAAGCTTCGCCTCGAGCAGATCCTCAACTTTGGTTAAGAAGACCGACCTGGTCCTTTTTTATTTACCTTGGGGCAATCTGGTCGCCCGATGGCTACTTCCAGCGGTCTTCCCCGCAGTAAAAAAGACCTGGAAATTTATTTATTTTTTTCCTTCCCCAAGTTGGAATTGGAAGGATATCCCCGACGGCCTGAAAATCTCCCCTCCCTTGTTTTGCTGAGCGTGGGGGTGAAGGATATATGAGCCCAGCGGGATTCCCTCCCGGACGGGCCAAGCCTCCCCCCCCCCCTTACTCCGTGCTATTTTTAGGAACTCTATAAATAGCACGAGGGAGTTTCGCAGGGTGGTGGTGGTGGGGCTCAGGGGGAGGAAGTGTGCGTGCGCGGGGGGGGGGGGAGAACGCTGACCGGCCACCTTAAGTTCTCCTCCTCCTTTTGCTGCTACTGCTGCTGCTACTACTGCTGGCCCGGGCGAGAGGCAGCCAGAGGGCGGGGCGGGGAGGAGGAAGGAGGGGGGGGAAGCACGAGCTTATTAGCATGAGCCCAGTCGCGTCAGCCGTGGGCTGGAGCGAACGAAAGGGAAAAAGTGAGAGTGGGGAGGGGAGAGCCGGCAGAAGGGGGCGGGGCCACGCGTGACGCAAGGGGACGGGGCCATTGACGCAACAGGGTCGGGATGCGCCAAAAATAGCCGCGGCGGCAGCAGCAGAGCCCAGGCAGCTTGGCCCGGCGGTGGCTGCTGCTCCATTGCGCGGAGAGAGGGGGAAGCAACAGCCTGCCAGTGGGCTGGGCTATTTTAAGGCTCCCCGAATCGGAAACTCGAAAGCAGCAGCAGCCAGAGAAATGGGGTATTTTTATACCTTTTCCTGGTTTTGAGAGACTGAGAACCTTCGCCCCCCCTTGCTTGCTTTTATTTTTATTTCTTTTCTTTTGCTTGCCCAAGCCCTCCCCACCTCCCAAAAACGCATGTGTGTGTGTGCAAGGAGCTGGGCACGATGGCTCTGCCCCCTTTTGAGTTAAAGAGTTTCCATTTGGCAGATGGGACTCTAAAGACGGCAGCAGCCCTTGATGCCTGTGTGCCTATCAGCGCGAGCGCTGTTTACTTACCTCTTTTGTTATCATCAACTTTCTTCCCGATGTGGGGCACGGCGCATTTATCTTGGCAGTAGCAGCAGCTGGCTACCCCGGGTACCCGGCTTGACCTGAACCTCAGCTCTACAACTTTCTGCCTATATGGCCCTAAACTACACTGCGCTCGCTCCCTTTGGGGCAACTCCTTCTCAAAAAACTATTGAGATAGATACCCATCCGTCCTTCCACCTTATGACTTGGGTATCTTGTATTGGGCCAACTCTAGCCGGCGAAAGTTTCATCTTTTTATGTTTGTTTATAGTGGAAATGATCGGTTCTTGTTTTATCTTCAGCAGCCCTTTTAAAAACAGAAACAGTGTCTTTTACATTTGCTTGAAGTTTGACCCATCCATCAGGGCTGGCACCTAACCCCACTGCGAAGGTTTCACAAATTAAGCATCTCTTTCTTTCTTTCTTTCTTTCTTTCTTTCTTGGATAGTCTGATTTTTTTTTTTTTTTTTGTAGCATAGGACCACACAGAATGAACCTTTTATTTTTTTAAGCGGAGAGGGGGGAGGGGAGTTCACCCGGAACGAACAAAAGGTCGCTAAACCTGTTCTCGCGTTTCCCTCTTAAGCCCTGCTGAAGTTGGCCAATTACAACCATTAGCTACTGCATTTCTGCAATCCTGGCGGTAGAGGGCTCGGCTTAACAATCAATACAAGCAAGTGTATTTGGAACGGCCTAATAAAATCCGAGTGAGGTTTCTAACGTGCTTTGGTAAATCTTGGAATACGTTCTCCAGAAGATAAAAGCTCTACTGCATTTCATTCCTATTTTAGGGAAGGCCGCTGAGATACTACATATCTCAGTATCAAATGCCTGCATTTTGGGTCACTGAAAGCGTTGGTATTATTTCCTTGGATGTTATTGACTTGTAGATTAATCAGTTTTGGTTGAGAATACTTAATAAAAGTATCAGAGAAGCATTTATTATAATACAAAATGAATGGCAATAAGTGCTTTTGGATTTATGAAAACCTTGTCTACACAAGCATTTTGAAATATTATTTTATTATGTTATAAAAATTATTTTACTGTGTTATATCATGGGATAACCCACCATTGTCAATATACTTTATGATATGGTATTAATTTTTAGTTTAAATAATTATTTAAAATGGGGGAGGGGTGTATATTGCCCTGAGTAACTGTTAAGGAATGCTATAATATTTGTGTTATAACAACAACAAATGCTATTATCAGCGTGACTGTGGGATCTGGCACCTAAACATTTATGCTGTCAAGGCTTCCTGTTCCACCACAAAGGAATCGCTACAACATCAGACTATCATGTTTCAGTGTAAAGACCCTGCAATAGCATTTTGTTGATATACATAATTACTAATTTCCAACCCTGCAAATGAGACCCAGAGAAAGACAGCTCATATCTCTTTACTGACAGAAGAAATGCAGTATGGGCAAACTATGGTCATACTAGTTTTTAAAATGTAAATGTACTTCTTTGTGTTGGAGACTGACTGACAATCTAGCATAGGGATTTCGAGTGTGTAAGTTACATTCTTAATATTAAATATTAAGAAGGAAAAATATTCCCCCATTGTTACAGAATTTACACCCCAATTCCATATACCAAGCCTCACTGATTTCAGTGGCGCATATCTTCCTTATCTCACAAGGGTTGTGCCTTTCTTTTATGCTAATTCTTCAGGAAATTCAGAGTGGTTTCTGGGGGAAACTCCGGGCAGTTTCATCCAAACACTGTGATCCTTCTGTGGCCAGCTTAACTTAAAAAACACCAACATATGCTCTCAGATCAGACCATTTTGTGGCTTTTTGTAATGGTGGGTTTGATAAAGTGTGTGGCAGGGCAACTCTATGCATATTTACTCAAGCTGCATTGAATTTAGTGTGTTTACTTCTAAGTGGACTGCAAGATTAGGCAGTTTGGGTTGTATCTGACTAAGTCAGCAGACCCAATGAAATAAATGGGCTGAAGCTAGCCATGGCTATTGATTTCAATGGGTCTACTCTGAGTAAGGCTGGTTGGATACAATCTCAACAAAATGGGCCTCACTGCAGCCTGGCATCCAACTGCCAACACATTTGCTTACCATCTGAGTAACACATACTTCTTTGTATTAACTTACACTCAGATCTTAAGCACCATTATTTGACCTCTATTGTTCCATTAATTTCACTTAAAATGTAAACACTTTTAGGACTAAGGCATTAATGGGGTTATTTTTCGTACGCTGGGAAATTTCACAATGTGAAAACGAACACAAAATGACTAGTTGTTACAAGAATAAAAAACAATTTATATGCCCAATATAAATGACTCAATACAGAAGATGCAACTTTCCACTTGAAGTTTGTAATACATGTTTTATTTTGAATCATTCAACACAAACAAACAAACAAACAAACAAACAAACAATACACTCTATTATGCTTTATGGAAAGATTTTTATGGGGTACAGTTGATACACATTACCTGATCTGCATTAGCTGCTAATACCGCATTACAAATTATGCTTCGCCCCGGGGGCAGATTATGAAAAAGCAGAATTTCCATGAAGCAGAAATACATGAGATACAGAGTTAACAACACCATTGGCGAATGTTAGATTTGGTGCTACTTGACTCTAAAAAAGAAAATCCAACCAAAACCCAAAAACTCTAGTTCTTGTTACTGACAAAGCTATATTTTCAAATTATGATGGCTTTTTCTTTCCAATATTTTATCTAAAGCTTTATTTGTGAGAAGCATAAAGTGAGACTGATAAAAGCAAGTCTTCAGAAGGAAGTTGTGTGTGATGGATGAAAATGCAGAAAAAGCTCCTGCGTCTTTAATAGTTATGTATAAAAGAGAAATTCATTAAGTTACCCCCCTCCCTTTACCCCTGCAGAAAATGAGGCATCTGCCAAGTTCCTAATTCTGCACTACTTAAAATGAAGAGCACCATATCCTGTTTTGTATCCAAACACTCCAGGACATGGTGCATTTGCAGGGTTTGCTTTTAGAACTCAACTGCATTTTTTTCTGGTGCCTGGGTCTCAGTAGCACATCAAAGCTGAACACCAACAAAAAGGCAGCTACTAAAATATCTCAAATTATTGATGCATTATATAAATTATTTGGGAGAGGAATGCTCTGTGTTTCAGTAATCCCACCTCTCTTGCCAATGAGAAATTTACTAGATTTTGTGTAACCCCTACATCCTAAACATAATTACTAATACGTAAGCGCTACTGATTAAATGGCACTTCCAAGCAAAAGGCATACCTGTGCCTTGATGCTTGTTACATAGGCTATCCTATGCCCTTCTTGTACATTTTAGAACTTACTTATAGCTGGGCCCTTATAGTGATAAGTCACATACTAATTACCACATCTTTAGAATAGATATAATATAAAATTTCATTGCTCATTTTAAAGTTCTGAAGTTAACAACATAAACTTGAAGTTGGGTAATTAAGTAATCCTTATATAGACACTTATTAAAGTATTTATACATATTATCTTAAATCTACATCTATCATTTTGCCAATTAAAATTAGGACTTTAATTGCAATTAAGTAATTTAATTGCCAATTGAACAGCAAAATTGCTAAGTGACTAATTTTAATGCCTATTTTAATTACCAATCATGACTGGGGAGGGAGCTAATCAAGCAGTATCAGAGTAATGATGTGAAAAAAAAAGAGAGGGAGAACAAACATTCATGGCTCCATGCTCAAAAAGAAGCCTATGTCAAATAAATGCAAACAGTTTTATAGATGCAGCAAAATGCTACATTTTGGTATCTAAATACTGGAACACAGGACACAATTAAAAATATCAGCCATCTGTTGTACTTTCACATTTTGTGCCGTAGTCCATAACTTTCCCCCACTAAAAATCCAATAATTCTATAAGGGAGAGAGATTGCCTAAGCACTTGTAACCTTACAGGTCATATGTGGAATGATGTTTTAGAACAACTTTAGAAGTAAAAACTACATGCAAATATATTCTGTTCTGTTGGGAGGAGGCAGAGAACACTACAACATTAGCATCTTTCACAAATGCAATCACTTATTAAGATAGCTAATATATCAACATGAAAAGCAGGAATGCTGAAATATTAATATATCAGGAAGACAGCAGCTGTGGTTGTAATGAAATCAGAGTAAGACTTACGGGTGAACCTGTGCATTTAGAATCCACAATATGCAACGTTCAGATTCTTTCTGGTTTGCTCTGCTTCCCTTCAGGATGAAAGACATAAGCAATGGTGTCATCAGCATTCCTGTCTGACAGTTTAGCAGATAAAAACCATGAATGATGAAATTTCCTGGGCCAACTGAAGATCTGTTTTGGAAGGTCCATATTAAAATCATAACTATTTTTTTCTGATGTTTCACTAAGAGCAGTTTCCTCTTCAGCTTGTTAGGATGCTTCCAACCAATAATGGTTTTCTGTTCCTTTAAATGACTGGTTCCGCAGCCAAGCCAATCTTATTCTTATTTAAAGAAAAACTTCTCATTAACAAAATTCTTTATCTATGTCAGGACTGCACAACTATGATCATGAAAGGTAAGTAGGGCTTTTGAGACAAATAATCCTGCATTGTTTGTATACATGACATCAGAGCTCTTCAAAAGGCTTTTTTGGCTCCAATTCAGTTGTAGATATTTACCCAAAGGGGTTTCTCCACTAAACTGCATATTAAACTGCAACCATGTGCAATGTGAGCCCAGTGGCTTCTTCTCCATTGCAAAGCATCCTCACTAGAGAAGGCTGGAGGGGGAGGGGTTCCAAGCCCTCCTCTGCTGCACAGTTTCCTCCTGAGGGCATTTTGCAATGGAGAAGAAGCCATCAGGCTGTAGTTACACATGGACTGGGCCTTAAACTCTTATGGAGCAAATAGGGAAATAATGTTTAAAGATGTTGATACAAGTGTTCATGTGAACAGATTATGTGCTTCTAAAACCAGATCTATATTGCTATTTTTAGCAGGACAGGCATTACTACGTCCATTTTTTTACACCTGTAGGTGTGAAATAATTATTTGCATAGTTCATTATGTAGGCATTGCAATCAGACTTTGAGTGACTGTAGTTGAGTGGGGCAGTTCCCACAAACCTGAATATGTAATAGTCCAAAAGAACACTTGATTGCAAACTAACAGGACAACTTCATCCACTCTCCTATTGAAGTCATATAGCGGACTTTGAAAATGAAAATGACTTTCCCTTCCTTATTAAGACCATACCAGCAGAATTCAGCATCTATGATTCTCCAAACATACTGGATACTGATTGCAGACATGTATCGCAGTAAGCATGAATATCCTGTTTGGCTAAGTCTAAAATAATACAACGTTGAACAACTTTTATACTATTCCTTGTAATAAATTACCACGTGGAAAAGAATGTAAACAACTATTTCATTGCTATATGTTGGGGCAGGAACTGTCTGCGTTGAAAATATAAATGGAAGGAAATGTGCAGCAACATAAGAATAATTATAAATGCTGTTACTCCTAAAATATTCTTCTTCTCTCTCTTATACAGTCTGTCAGAGACAAAAATTGCAATCAATTGCAGCTTTGGGTAGTATATTGCCCCGGCAAGCTTGACAACCTGACTGAGTACAGCCATGCAACTCAGACTTTGAGCTCTGCAAAACCTTTATTTCAAGACTGAATAGTATTTTTCTTCTCATTGTACGTCAGTGCATAGAAGCTGTGGCAGACAAGGGCAACAAAAAACAGATATGTTAGGAATACTGTCCAAGGCAATAGGATTCTAAGGAATGTTATCCTATAAACACTAGGCAATATCTGAATAAGTAAGAGTAAACTAATGAGAATCAATCAACAATTTACTTAAGTCGATTGATTTTGATGGGTTTACTCTGAGTACGGATATCATCACTGACAAGAAAAGTTTTGGAAAGGCTTAACATACTTAATAGGCTGAGATATATTTGCTAATGAACAAGTCTGGCTCACTAAAGTCTATAGATTACATACTTTTTATACTTCTATGAGGACAGTTAGACCCTTTCTGTAAAGTTAAATTTGTATGATTAGATGAGATAAGCATATTTGTCCTTCTTAAACAAAAGATATATGTATTTTTTTATTTTTAAAAACACCCTTTAAAAGTAGCTCTAAATGAAAACACAAAAGATTTGCTATCTATTCCATTTCTTTATATCCTGCTCTTGTTCTTTACTACTATTCTTTCTGCTCTTTCCCCTTTCCAGAAAACTGTACATGGAAAGAAATACACAGAACAGGATGGCAATAATATTGTATAGAAAGTTACATTTAACATAGTTATTCTTTGTACTGTCAATTTATACTACGGAAGAGTAGGCCATGTGACATATCTGGTAGTTCACAGGATCCCAGCTGACAAATAAGAGATGTTTTCAGCATTTGGAGTCTTCCTGCATCTCAGTTCACATCCTTACTAGACAGCCTGCAAGATCTGCTTACTGTCTTATAAAGTCTCAGGTCAAGGAATATAAATTGTACCAAGCAATTTATCTTCTTGTTCAGAGTCATTAAATTTCCTCCCAGAATATATTTGATTGATATTGTTGGAGGTGAAAGGCTAAAGGGACCATATGGCAACATGTTGCATTCCATATGTTATCTGCCCATCCGTGCTTAAGCTGCCATTAGCAACATCTGCACCCAGCGGAAATCCAGCTGCGCAGAAAACTATTGTCAAAATTGAACTAACTAAAGAAAAACGACACACACAGAGAGAGGGAGAAGTAGGAGCAGGTTGAACACTAGCAGAATACAGATAGTGCTTTACTGAGAAATGAGAAAAGGCAGGAGGAGTTGGGGGAGGGGGAAGGAAAGAGAATAGGTTTGTGCGCAAATTTAATTGATACGTGGTGTGCGAAATATCTAGGGAAGAAAAGAGCACGCACACGCCTTCCGGTGTGCAGTGGATCTTAAAACGGATCCTTCGCGTGGCTGCAAAAAGCTCCCCCTCCCCCAAGAGAAAAGGCTTCTCGATCTAAGAAATAAGGGTGGGGACAAGGAAAGCAAGCCCCTCCTCCCTCCCTCCCCTCTTTTTTTCTTTTTCTTTTTTATTTGCTCTCACAAGTTCTGGTCGTTGCAACTGAGGACCGCTTCCTGCGGCTCCATCTGCGGCTCCTCTGCATGCAACACTTACCTGCTTCTGGGGCTTTCCCCTGCTAATTCCCGCTTCCTTCTTGTCAGTGAAAGGCGCGCTGGCGGAGGTGTGGGGCTAAAGCTCCCTTGGGCCCGCCAGAGTGGTCACCTCCAGGGGGCTCTGGCAGTGGCGAGGTGTTTCTGGGGTGCTGCTGGTAGCAGGAAAAGCGCGCGCGCGCCCTCGAGTGGGGGTGTGAGTCTTCCTTCCTTCCTTCCTTCCCACCCATCTCTCTCTCTTTCTCCTTCCTTCCTTCCTTCCTTCCTTCCGAGCCCCCTCGCCGCCGCACACAGAGCGCCCATTGTAGCCGCCCCAGCGACGCCGCAAGCCCGACTCCGCCAGCCAAGAGCGTCAGCTCCCCCGTCAGCAAAGCTTGCTCTCCGTGACGGCAGCGCCAAGCTGTATAAATAGCCCGGCCCAGCCCGGGGAGCTGGAGGGAGGCGGCGGCGGTGGGGGGAGGTTTTTCCATTGACGCCGCCAGGAAAGGAAACAATGGCTTTAGGGGCAGGAGCGAGTGAGCAAGCAAGCAAGCGCTCCTTCGCTCGCTCGCTCCGGGCAGGCCAGCCGCCCGCGCGCGCCAGCCACCCGGGGAATGCGCCTGGCTCTGCGCCAGCGCCGTCGCCGTCAGGGCTTCCCCGGCCTCTCGCTTTCCCGCCACAAGCGAAGCTCGCGCTCAGGGCGCTCTTCCTCTCACGCGCGCTCGCCCCCTCTCCGTCCCGCGCAAACCTCTCCTTTTCTCGTGATTTGCAAGGCCTCGTGGATTAAAGAGAAGGGAAGGGCGGGGGGGGGGGGCATCGAAAACATTGAAACGATCTGCTCCTAATTCCTTAAGTAGACATCTACTCTCGAATGTGTTAGAAAAGTTTGGGTAGACAAGGCTCTGAACCTATTCCGACGTGCACCCTGGAAGACGTGGACTGGAGAAATATGGAAAGTGCTTTCAGCTTGCACAAGAGTTCCTTCCCACTTCCTTTTTTTTAAAAAAAGGACTTTATTATCTTTTATTATTAGGGTTTCGGCTAATCCCGCATCACCAGAGTCCATACTGGGAAGCTACACTGATTTTTCTGCTTATAAAGGCTGTGCCTTGGGAAGCGCCAATGTGGCCTTTATGTCAAACTGCATCGGATGGAAAAGTTTGGCAAAGAATGGATTCTTTACCCTGACAGCTGCAGTGCAACAGGATTTCATAGCGAACACACACAAACCACCATTTGATGGTCATGTTATATTGCTTCAGTTACATCAAAATGTTGAAAAAAAACCTCCAGTCTTGCTGAGTCGCCAGCTTATTTCTGAAGAGAGACCTGAATGAAAGTGCTGCCCTCATGACAGTGTGTCACCACTGTTTCACTTGTGACTGGGGCAGACAGAACTTTCAGAGATGTTGAGCTGTCAGTCATCTCTAAAAATCCATATTTCGGTTTCTTAAGAATTGTGGCAAACAACTGCATTCTGCAAGAACAGACAGCTTTTTGCTCCCACTGGAAATCCCTCCTCTGCTCTGAGATTAGAATATCGTGGAAAAGTTCATTTATTTCAGTAATTCAACTGAAAAGGTGAAACTAATATATGAGATAGACTCATGACATGCAAAGCAAGATATGTCAAGCCTTTATTATAATTGTGATGATTATGGCGTACAGTTGATGAAAACCCCAAATTAACAATCTCAGAAAATTAGAATATTAAATGAAATCAGCATAACAAGGATTGCAAATAGAGCAATATTGGACTTCTGAGAAGTAGAAGCATGCATATGTACTCAGTACTTGGTTTGGGCCCCTTTTGCATCAATTACTGCCTCAATGTGGCGTGGCATGGATGCTATCAGCCTGTGGCACTGCTGAGGTGTTATGGAAGACCAGGATGCTTCAATAGCAGCCTTCAGCTCTTCTGCACTGCACTGCTCAGTCTCATGTCTCTCATCTTTCTCTTGGCAATGCCCCATAGATTCTCTATGGGGTTCAGGTCAGGCGGGTTTGCTGGCCAATCAAGCACAGTAATCCCATGGGCATTGAACCAGGTTTTGGTACTTTTGGCAGTGTGGGCAGGTGCCAAAGTCCTGCTGGAAAATGAAGTGAGCATCCCCATAAAGCTTGTCTGCGGAAGGAAGTGCTCCAAAATCTCCTGGTAGACAGCTGCGTTGACCCTGGACTTAATGAAGCACAGTGGACCAACACCAGCTGATGACATGGCTCCCCAAATCTCTTTTCTGATGAGAGCAGCTTTTGCATCTCATTTGTAAACCAAGGACCCAGAGTCTGGAGGAAGTATGGGGAGGCACATAATGCCAGATGCTTGAAGTCCAGTGTGAAGTTTCCACAGTCTGTTTTGATTTGGGGAGCCATGTCATCACAGAACATTTCAGGATTTGGGCCTCTGCCATTGGCCCTTGAACTCTGTGTCAAGATTGGAAGCTTGGAAGTTTAGACAGCCAATCATGTTGGGAGTGGGAGTGGCCCAGGCTTTCAGGAATGTATACTGTATAAGCAGTTGCTTTACCCGTTTCCCAGTTATGTATTTCAATAAAGGTTCTTGGTGTTATTGCTATGCCTTGCCTCGTGGGAACCCACCTACACTTCACCTATCACACTTGGATTATACTCCTTGGTGTGCACTCCCATCCCACTTCATTTCAAAAGCCATAAAGTGTTTGAGGTTTCTGTTTCAACGTTTGTCATGACTCAGATATGTAATACAAACTGTGCAAGAAAATGAGATCTTGAACCAGAGTGGAGCCAGACTGCTGGCATGTAAAATAAAAGAGGTGGCTTTTCAACTGATCCCTGAGGGAAAAGTTGCAAATATTGGATTGGATTCATTAAATAAGCAAAAAGGTAAAGGTTAAGGGACCCCTGACCATTAGGTCCAGTTGTGTCCGACTCTGGGGTTGCGGCGCTCATCTCGTTTTATTGGCTGAGGAAGCCTGCGTACAGTTTCTGGGTCATGTGTCCAGCATGACTAAGCCGCTTCTGGCGAACCAGAGCAGTGCACAGAAACGCCGTTTACCTTCCCGCCGTAGCGGTACCTATTTATCTACTTGCACTTTGAGGTGCTTTCGAACTGCTAGGTTGGCAGGAGCAGGGACCGAGCAACGGGAGTTCACCCTGTCGCGGGGATTTGAACCGCCAACCTTCTGATCGGCAAGTCCTAGGCTCTGTGGTTTAACCCACAGCACCACCCGCGTCCCTAAGCAAAAAAGTACAATGCAATAAATTTTACCTTCAGATATCCACTACTTTTTGGGAACTGTTTGCCTTTAGTCTTCGAAGAAACTCAACAAGAAAAGAGAACGTTTTTCTAGGGATCCATATAATATAGCTTGAATAATGGCCTTCTTGAGACAAAGGGAAATGGTGAGACACAGAAAAGGAGGCAGTCTTTTAGAGCAGAGATGGTGAAAATGTGGCCCCTTTGTTGGATTGCAGCTGCCATCAACCCTAGTCAGCATAGTCAATGGTCAGGGATGTTTGAAGTGCTAGTCCTATAATATATGGAGAGCCTCAGTTTCCACACCCATGTTCTAGAATTCTATTGGGTCGGAATAATTTAACTGACCCCCAATAAGCAGTAACATCAAGGGTATTAAATATGTTTATTAAAATGACTTCAGGATTAGGGACATGGGCTGGGTGTTTGGGTCCCCCTAAAATCTAATGGAAATGTAGTCAAGTGTATAAGCAATGGCACTTGATTGTGACTCAAAATAGAATGATGTAAAGAAGATTATGGCCGGGGGCCTGACATATATCAGAATTGTGCTGTCAAAGCTAGTCTAGAGACTGAATAGACACTATTTGCAGTTAAAGAGCAGAATATCTTCAGCTACTCTTTTCAAGTTCTCTTACTGTTTTCCATTTTATTTCTTTCCTTCTCCCGCCCCCGTTGATAACGTAACCTTGCCGGCAGATTTCTTCAGTTGATGACAAGCAATTCAAACAGCAAGTGGATCCTTCAAATTTCCGCAAATGGTTAGCAAGCCAACTGTAATATATCTGAAAGGGGATATTTTCACATTGCTGATATATATAGTTCTCTTATCTTGATGCCCCAAAAGCTAGTCATGGAAATGGCATTCTGGTAAACAAATTACAATAATTCTTGAGGTGTCTATTCAGTCAAGAAAATAAAAAGGGAAAAAAATCCCATTGTAAGCTATTTCAAATGGGTGGTGGTGAAAGAATTGGGAACTTGTGACTATTCCAAAGGTAACACTACAAGACAGTGATTGTGAACTGAAACAAGAAGACCCAAGTCCTCTGTTGTTGTGTTTATATATATATATATATATATATATATATATATATATATATATTTCAGGGGGAGTGCAACCCCATCCAGGGTAGGCAATTGACCAATTTTTTGAATATGGGTGCTGCTCACCCACAGTGTCTCTGTCTTACCAGGATTCAAGCTCAGCTTGTTTCTCCTCACCTGTCTCACCATGGGGCAGGCCTTTTGTTGGGTGCAGAGCAGAACTTCAGTTTGCTATGTATTTTTATTTATTTTTATTGATGGGAGGACCATCTGCCCCTCATTGGCTATGCCCATGGCCACTCCTGATTCAGATGTTATGGAGAAACAGAGCTGAGTGTCATCAGCATATTGATGGCACCTCACCCTGAAACTCCTTATGAGCACTCCCAGCGGCTTCCTATGGAGATTAAATAGCATTGGGAGTAAGATAGCGCCCTGTGAAATGACATAACATAGCTGCCCAGGGGCTGGAAGGCACTCTCCTAATGCTATTCTCTGGACTCACTTCTGAAGGTAGAACTGGAACCACTGTAATACAGGGCCCCTAGTTCCCATTCCCCAGAGCTGATCTGGGAGGATCGCATGGGCGATGCTATCAAAAGCTGATGAAAGAGCGAGGTCATCTGTCAGGGCGACCAAGGCTGATTCAGTCCCATGGCCAGGCCTGAACCTAGATTGGAGAGGATATAAGCAATCGGTGTCATTCACAGCAAAGCAAAGTGATTTTTCCTAACAATTTGCAAACTGACTATGTGGGGAACACACTCATGTTTACATTTAACTGTATATGTTCTAGTGGAAATAGTACCTCCAATGTGTGGCAATTGGGCACAATATTGATTTCCCCCCTTTCTGTTGTGCATTTCTGCCTCGAATGCAAATAGGCACAAAGCTAAGAAGTCCATGTTGAACTTCTGATTGTCAAGTGCTTCCTTTGACACATTTATTTTTTGACGCGTAGGCTTTCCCACACAAATGGCTCTCTCCCTACAACAAAAGTATGGTGAAGTCATCACACATAGATTTGGTCACTTCAAAAGCAAACAGGTGAATTGGTTGTTATAAGCCTAA